GCAGGGCCTCCTCTAAGGACTGATGGTTAGCTTTCACTGGGACAGGAGGATCGGCTGCATACCAACAGGCACAAACGCGCATGAACTTTGATGGGTATAGACTTCAGAAGTCACTTATATAGGTAAAAACACTTATCACTTCGCTTTTAATGTTTTCGGATGAAAAACAAACGCAAATGAAACTAAACAGATGGAAGGGCATTTTAAGTGACTCTCCCGACCACCAGTGGGCACTGACTGACCCAATGTCGCCCTGACTGTCAGAGTCTGTGTGGGTGGGGGAGGGTACTGAGCCCCTTCACAGACACACATACACAAGCACACACAAACGCACACATGCACGTACGCACGCACACACGCACGCACCACACGCACGCACGCATGTGCACGCGCACGTGCGCACATACATACACACACACACACACACACACGCACACAGTTAACATGTTACGGGAGGCCCTGTTGCGCAAGCTGTGTAGCTGCTTAGCTGTTTGCAGGTCGTGATTTAACAAATACTTTCTTTCGTCAGCACATACGAGGAGCTCCGAAGGGACGACGCCATAAGTACAAGCCGTGAACATCAGACTCACAGTAGATGCTCATAACCCCTGTCCATGGGTTAGCAGCTGATCGTGCATTGCACTCCCTTGCTGGGCCTCCGGCAAATAATCTCACACCTGCATGCGACCTCGCCGGCAAGCATAGTGCACCGACACTCGCGACCTTATCAGCGCAAATGCTTGTCTGATGATGACCTGGGCCCTGCACCAGCACCTATCCCGCCCCCTCCCCCATTCATTTCAGCTTGGTGGTGACGACTCTGTGCTTGAGCAGCTGGATAATGTGGCTTCGAGTGTGAGTCACAGACGACTCATACGTTGGGCTTACCCATTCTCAGATATCTCACTCATTCCTGGATACTGCACCACGTTGTCGGATATCACTTCATACTTCCGGAAGTGTTTTCCTGTCTTCCACATACGCGTGCCCTGAGCAGGTGTGTATCCGTTATGTTACGGATGGAGGACACCCCGGGGGAGTCCGTACATTCTCAGTCAACATCCAGCGCGCTCAGCAGGCTTTCCGACAATCAGCCTCGCTCCAAGCTGAACAGACCGCTAACGGTTAGTACAGTGAACTCCCGAAGCGTCGCCGCCTGTCCGGTAGCCGTCAGTTGGCGGCAGGCGGGCGTGGGTTGGCCCGCCGGCCGGACAGCGCGGCGTGGGACGCTCGTGCTCGCGCGACCCGGCCGGCGCTGGGACCAGCCGACCAGCCGCGGCCGCCGGACAACGGGCGGCGCTCGACCGAGACGCGGCGCTGGGCGGGGCGGTGGCCACCCGCGCGCCCGGCTGGACGGACAGGGCCGCCGCCCCGTCCGTTTTCGGAGACACGTGTGATGGCCTCACCCAGGTTTGGAGACAACTCTCAAGGGTCCGGCACGCCGCCGCGCTGACTCGGGCGTACCTCCCATGCTTCGGTATGCTCTTGCACTGGGAAATAATCTACGGGTCTCATTCCATAGGGCGGTTATGCCCCCACACATAAATACGTAGTGCGGCAGCATTTAGCATTCAGTCATCTATCAAGTAATGTGACAACAAGTATATTTGCACTTTAGCAATTGCAGTCATGGCTCTCTACGTCAGTCGAACAAAGAAATAAAGAAAAGTCTGTTGCATGCGCTCTGCAATGTTAAGTGGAATGGATTTCTCAATGCAGCTAGTGCAAAGGTCTATGGTGTTCACTCTCGATCATACATCAGCAGTTCTCTAAGACATCACTTTAAACATAACTAAAATCAACCTGAAGTACGCCCTGATCACTGGGTCAGCAAAAAGCCAACAGACGGGTGTGCCTGCCTTCGAGCTCAATCCGGCGCTGGAGGGGATATATTGCATGTGGCATCGGGAAGATTGGTGGTTTTCAGCCGATCGTAATGTTTTGTTCGATTTTGTGAAATGAAATAGTGATATATGCATGACCCGTGTTAATACGCATGCTCTTGTTCGAGAAAAGTAAGGACTCCGTAATTGTTTTTGTCGTAGAATCAGCACTCGGTCGGAGCTTTTGCCAACTGAACAACTGAACTGGCTTGCGGCCGGCGTCAAAGGAGCAGGGCGTTCGCGCCGCTATGCTTCCACCTTGGGATTTCCAAACTGATTAGGTCCGAGTGGCAGTCACAGAAGCGGGTGGCCGCCACTCAGAGCGTTTATGGTGCCCTCAATCTGGGTTCAGTAAAACAAAGGCCAAAGCTCGAGTGCGGTGGTTTGGCTCCAGTTTTGGTGCGATAGGTACGCGTCGTTTGCGGTTCATTGCACTCATCGGTCTTGGACAAGGGTGTGGTTTTCTATTCAGTTCGGGTGGGGGAGGGCTTCGTCCCACAACTTGGGTTCCTGCCCCCCCCCCCCAAGCTTTGGAAATAAAGTGGGACGAATCTGGGGAAAAACTACTTGTTGGCATGTTTCGTGGGTGCGTTGGGTCATTTTTCACTGTTCAGCCCCTCCTCCCTCAGCTTATTTTGTAAACTATGCCGCAGGTTCTGGATTTTGTGTGCGTAAAAGACCAGCTTCATCAAAACCACCTGGTGCCTTTGCTATTGCTGCGCCACCGCAATAACCTGACGATTTTTGAGACAGTTCTCTCAACGGCTGTCGTTGCATTCGTTAATTTTCAGAATATTTAGTTATTCCAAGTTTTATTTGCTTTTGATTTTGCTGATGTATTTAGACGGCTAAATGTAAGCATCAAATTAATCAATGTCATGTTAGCTTTGTCATGAATGATGCATTTAGTGCAAATGTTACATTACCGTGGGTTCGTTATATGACATGCATTGCTTTGACATTGTCAGGACATTTGCCACGCATTTGTCACCACCTCACAGAGTGGTCCGATGAACTGCCTGGCCTACCTATGTGATCGCTAAATCACGGACAAAGTGCGGTCGAATTAGACGTAACATTGTCCACAACAGCTCAGAGTCTTTGGTATTAGGGCGTCTTAGACGTGCCGTGTGTATCTGTGTATGGTCTGGACGACAGGATTGGATTTCATCACCGGGCCAGATCACGGGACAACTGGGACGGATCACAAGACCACTGGACTTGATCGTAGGACCAGAAAACCACAAAGCTGAATCACCCGGCGACAGGACCCAACCGTTAGGCTGAATCACGTGACCACAGGCCCTAGCCATCAGGCTGAATCACGTGACCACTGAACGGCTATAACTACCAGACCACTAGACGGGTCATGAAACCATGCGAGGAAACTAACGCACCGAACCACATGGCCGTGGGGCGAATGTTTATGTGAGGCAGGTCAAAGGGTCAGAGGCTCAAAGAGCTCAAAGCGGCCGGCCTAAATGGACAAAAAAGCTCTGCACGGTTCCACTATTCGGCTACCAATCGTCTGCCACCGGCAACAGCGTGAGTTTGCCTACCATCGAGCTCCATGCATAATGCAACGATGACCGAGCTGACATCTCACATGACCCGCGCCATTATTCCAAACCAGACACAGGACACTGTGTACCGAACGGCCGCGGCCGTCTGACCCACTCGCCCTGCTGACGTAACCGACTGCCCCACTTGCCCACTGAAGCTCATTCTGGTCCAGAGGGGAACACTTTCCAGAAATGATGGCGGGTTTGGCTCCAATAGTAATTTCGGACCTTTCAAAGCCATTCTTTTCACGCATTGCCATAAACCTAATGTCAAAATGGAAATCACTGGCTGGCCCGGGCCCCCGAAGGTGAACAAAGCGACGCCCCTGGACGGTACCCCCATAAAGGTGTGGGCTAAATGCCTCAAGACGTGGCTACGCTGTTTGAAAATGGGGACACCGACGGCGCATAATAACGGAGGGCTCAATGCGACCAAGCCGTCCGTCTCCCGGTACGTCACCATCAACATCCGCGGCTGTAATCGATCCGCGAGCTCCCACCCTCCCCTGTTGGTCCCCTCCCAAAATCGCACACCTGCCGTCTTTCCCGGGTGCCTCGCGGCTCCCCCACCGCAGGGACGAGGCGACCAATCAGCGCGCGCGGCCGGCGTGACGTCACAGCGCCGCCGGTCGGCGGATAGTGAGAGTAGCTGCCCGCCGCGGACCAGCGTCGTCCACTGTCGCGCACGCTCTACGGCAGCGGGGGGGTGTCCTGCGGATAGCTCCGTTCCAGGTTACGCCACCCTGCGACTTCGCGAGCGTTCCAGACCGGGTGAACGAACCGGATGCGCTCGAGCTGTTTATCCGGCGCCTCGGCCGAGTGACGACAGTGCTGATCCGGATCCGGCGGTGAGCGGCGGGTCCGTGACCGAGCTGGGCGATCTGACAAACAGAGCGGCAGACCGCGCCGCCGGTGGCACACATCTGTCCAGGACGAGTCCCGCCGCTGCGGCGACAGTCACGGCGCGCCACCTCCGCGAGCGAGCGGAAACGGCGCAGCGAGGGCTTCGCAGAGCTCTTGAAGCTTCGGGTGAGTGTGAACTCGGCGCGAGTTCAAACTTCCCCGCCGACGAGACCATGAGTGTAACAGACGTGCGGTGGAGCAAGAGCGCGGCGCGGAGCGCGCGCCTCGCCTCGGCAGCCTCTCCGACGACCACAGGACCGCGGCGCCAGCGGCCGGCGAGGTCGCTGGCTGCTGCGCTCGCTCTCCTCGCCGCTGCAGCGGCCATCGCGCCACCGACCGCCGCCGCCGACGCGGGCGCCCTGACAGCGCGCGTGGCGGCTGACCTAGCCGCGCGCAACATCACCGCCTGCGACGAGCACCTCTGCCACGCGGAACGCAAACGGCCGCGTCTGGAGGAGGACTGGGACGACCGCGGCTGCGTTTGTGACCAGGCGTGTGTGGCCTACGGCGACTGCTGCCGCGACTCCACGGCGGCAGGCGCGCCGCGGGAGGACATCGTCTGCCACCGCCTGCGGCACTACGACGGCATCTACATGGTGTCGGCGTGCCCGGCCGACTGGGAGGACGAGGCGGTGCGGCGGACTGTGCGCGCGGCCGGCGCCGCTCGCCCGCGATCCGTTCGCCGGCCTGCCGGTCAGCAATCCGCGGAGTCGTCTCACCTACCGCAACTACTACTGCGCCATGTGCCACGGCGACGCGGCCGGGGCCGTGTTCTGGCAGCCCAGGGTCGAGTGTCCGACGCTGACCGCGCGTGTGCGCAGTGAGCTGAACGTGACCGAGCACTTCGCCATGGAGAACCTCCAGCGGAACGCGCAGGGCGAGTGGGGCGTGCCGCTGGGCGAGGGCGCGCGCGAGACGTTCCACGTGTGCGAGATCGACCCGTTCTTCGGCGAGACGGTGGAGTTCTTCGTGCGCCGGTGCCGCGTCAGCGTGGACACGTGCGCGGCCAACTGGACCGGCGACCAGGAGGTGGCCGCGCTCTGCGCCGCCTACAACGCCTACGTGTACGACTTCGACAACAGCGTGTACCGGAACCCGCACTGCGCGCTCTGCAATCACGTGCCGGCCGAGCAGCAGTTCTGTGTGAGACGGCCAATGTTCCGCGCCTCCTTCGGCAACACGTTCAACACGCGATCCTTCTCGATCCTGCTGGACATCGGCGACCGCTCAGGCAGCGAGGACGTTGGCGCCGTCAGCGTCTGCTCCAGCAATCAGCTCTGGGATCCCTTCTTCAGGAAGTGCCGCGGCGTGGTGTGCGACGCCGCCGGCTACCAGCTGCAGGACGGCGCGTGCGTCCGGGATGAGGCGAGCACCGGCGCCGGCGCCGCCACCAATGGCTCGGACTTCACCCGGCAGATCACCAACGACACGACGGCCACGTCGTTCCTGCTCTGCCCCAAGTACTACCTGAATGCGTCAGAGTACGAGGTCGCCGAGAACGACACCATCTACGTGCCGCTGTACGACCGGACGTACCGGGCCGGCGAGTACGAGCTGCGCGAGGGCGAGCTGGTGGTCTGCGCGGTCAGCAGCGATCTCAGCAAGTTTGACCTTGTGCTCTCGTACATCTCGCTGGTGTGCTTGGCCGCCTCGGTGCTGTGCCTGGCGCTGCACCTGGTCGCCTTCTGCCTGGTGGCGGAGATCAGGAATCTGTCCGGCCGCAACCTGGCCTCGCTTAGCGTCTGCCTGCTGGTCGGCTACCTCTGCTTCCTGGCGCTGGCGACGCAGGAGCCGGGCAGCGCCGGCTGCACCGCGCTCGCCGTCGTCATGTTCGCCGCCTTCGTCGCGTCCTTCTTCTGGATGAACGTCATGGCCTTCGACGTCTTCACAACGCTCAGGTGAGGAGAGTTTTCTGGGGACAGCGCACCCTGCGCTGGAGGCGGTCTGTGCTTGGCTCGGTAGAGTCGTATTTGACGTCAGAGTCAGCAAGCATTTAGAGTCAGGGTGAAATTGATTCGTTTCGTACTTCTTTGTGTGTCTGAGTTGAGTCAACCAAATGATCGGGAAGTCGACTCAAGTGAGAACCGTAAGCAGCACGATATGTTTGCGGTCTGACGCACCATATATATATGTGCACCATTTGGAACAGTCACACGATCACATGTTGTGCAGACTTGTGCTTGACTCCAGCAAAATCGAATCCGACTCCGACACTGACTCCAGTTTGACCCGGATCAGATTCGGCTTCGGCTGTACGGATTTTTCAGCTCAGTTGGATTCTGAATTTGTTCACGTGGCTTGCAAAAGAATCAGAGTTGCTTCGACCCCACTTTGAAAGTGCTCGACTCGCAAAATAATTCAGCCCCAAACTCTAGGTCGTTTACACGTTCGGCTTAACATTGCAGTAAGTGGTTCACCTAGTTAGAATGCAATAACATCAAATATAACATGATGATTTGCCTGCGCTGCAGGAGGTAGAACTGGAATATTGAAGGTGTAACTGCCCAACCCCCAAGTTGGCATAGCTTGACAGACGTGTGGCTTGTTGTTTTGCACTTGCGCTGTTACTAGTGTGCACATTGATTTGTTCCTATACCCTCATATGGATACATTGTTATAGCTTTGCAGCTCTGCCCCACAAAAAATTAACTAGAATGCTATGGTACGGGTTGAATTATAATAATAGGCCCACATACACACATCCATGCATATCGAAGCAAACGTGATTGTGAAATTACTTAGGTAATGACCTGCCGTATCTTTGTAAAACAAGAACTTTGTGCAGATTCATGTCCGGAATAAAACTGATGCAACAAGGCAGATTCCAGCACAGACCTGCTGCTCGGGAAACCCAGCGAAAGTGAATTACATGAAACGTGGCCCATTGTAGTGGATGCATGTTTTCTTTGTAACGTGCGGTCTTTCATCCACCGCGATGCGTTCCGCAGCGTTTGAGCAAAAAGACACGTACGCAGTTTGTGACGTTAGCGGCGAACTGCAGCTGGAAATTATGGTTTAGTCTCAGGTTAACCTAGAATTTATGTTCACGCCACCAGCCTAAAAACCCAGGACGTTGGTATTCCGATGTGTCATATGCTTGCCTTTGTCAGCATCGCATCCACTCAGTGTAACAACCAAACAAAGTCAAAAAGCCCTTGTGGATAGCAGTTCTGCCTCGGCTCGCCTAAATTGAGCCGGAGAGCTACCAGATCCGTGAAGGTAACACTTCTGCCCCGGCTCGCCTAACTTGAGCCGGGGCGCTGCCAGATCCGTTTCGGTAACACTTCTCGCAGCTTCACCAGAACATCCGCCGGCTCCCCCCAAAACGGCGCTTTGGTGCCACACGGCCACGTCTTGTGGTGCGCCTTTCACCCCTATCGTCGCCTCCTGTCGCGTCACCTTCAAACCCTCCCGACACTCTGCGCGGCGTTGCCTCGACACTTCATCACTTCCGCAGTGCTCGCCGCTGTGTGCTGAGATAACATCGCGTCACCAGGGATGACGAAATCGCCGGAAAGGCATCACGCTCCACTCGATGTTCAATTGGGCTATGTGGTCCAAAGGAATCTGCGGGTTGGTTGTACCGCCCAATTAATTGTTTGTGCTGTAACAAACCGTTCACATCATTGTGCGGAGATAGCACACGTCTCAAGGAGTTAGAGTTATTGCGGTGATGAAATGCATTTTATTGATTAAAAAAAACATCACATTGCTTTCTATCGGATGCTGACATACCCACAAAAGATTCCTTTTCCAAGTTTTGATATTTGTTTGACGTTTCGTTATCGGCAGAATGTTAAGATAGTGAATAGAGTGTTGAAAATGAGAGGACAGTCATGACGTACCGTTTTCTAGGTCATATTTACTCAAATCCTGTCCAACATTTTTACAATACGACTTGCTTTGTAGCCACCGAAACGGCCGATGACTTTACGCGTTGTCCAGCTGTCATCGAGCGGAATCACGGTGCCCACCTGTGGCCCAATCCATCCCTGTCCCGCCGGCCACATGGCCCTGGTGTACCGAGCCGTTCCACATCCGCTCTGACGCTGAATACCGAAGCATGTGCTGGACGCGAGTCTCGGTGCATTCCAGTGTCGGTGGCATCGGCTGAATGGCTCCATTCGCTGACCTTTCTGACCTTGATCCGCCCGAAAACACCGGCTGCTGGACGGCCACCGGGCGTATTTGCCCGCCAAAGCGGTGTCGGCTGAAACGATATGATGTTTGGACCGGAACGTTTGTCGGGTGTGCACGTGCTGTGTCAATCACCCAGCAGTGTTGCCGTGAGCCTGGCTGTTGGCTCCTATGGTGGAGGCGGTGACATTAACTATCTTTTGCTCCGCTCTTCCAGACTTTTACGTTATAGGTGATGCTTATGGATGTAGTCGGCGTCTGTGATGGGGCAGGCCACAAACAACAAAAGTAGAGATGCATCAAGCGGCACCAGTCGATTTCATTTCACGTAGACTATGGAGACAACTACTGCTAGAGATCAATGCATCCTATTTGGGACCTGAAGCGTAAACCGCTTTTGGTATCTCACATAGACAACACATAAGCGCCGTGATATGCCCGACATGGTCGTAACAGAACTTCCTTCACTCCTCAGGAAGGCGACTACAGAGCTGCGGGTCCGCAGTGGCCAGCACATGCGCCGATACGTCCTCTACAGCCTCTACGTCTGGGCCATGACCACGGCCGTGGTGGTGGCGGCCGTGCTCGCCGAGAACTCGGCGGCGATCCCCGACGCCTACCGGCCGGGCTTTGGAGACAGAGTTTGCTGGTTCAGCCGACGGAAGGCGCTGATGGCCTTCTTCGCAGCGCCCCTGGCGGCCGTCATGGGAGTCAACGTGGTGATGTTCGTCGCCAGCGCACATATGATCCGATCGACGACCAAGTCCACGGCACATATGACGTGTGGCCCCTCCCAGGTGTGTACAGCTGCTGGCACCGCCCGATATGACGCGTGGCCCCTCCCAGGTGGTACAGCTGCTGGCACCGCCCGATATGACGTGTGGCCCCTCCCAGGTGTGTACAGCTGCTGGCACCGCCCGATATGACGTGTGGCCCCTCCCAGGTGTGTACAGCTGCTGGCACCGCCCGATATGACGCGTGGCCCCTCCCAGGTGTGTGCAGCTGCTGGCACGGCATGCACTGCCGGTGGTGCTCCCCGAGACTGTATATCCGGTGCAGAGCAGCGGTGCAAATGATGTATTCCACTGTTCAGGCCTGAAGGCTTAAGTCAAAAAGCATTACTAGGTTACACTTAGGTCAATCCCCATTACTAGACCTTTGCAAGCACGTTGTATTGGCTCCTTCGCCATATGAACAGTATCGCAAGCACAGGCATTACTCAGATGTTTTGTGAGGCCACAGTTCTCGTTTTACAGTGTGCACTCAAATATGCACATTTGTAGGGAGGAACGGGTACCAGTTGCGTTATCAGCATTTGTTCCTTCGCTCTGTTACATCCCATGGATTCTTTTTGGGCATTTTCGTGATTTTGCTGTCCTGGAACTTATCGTACCGCGCTGAGTCCAGCTGAGCGACGCCGTCCTCTGACCAAGCGTTAAAACAGCGCCTGCTCTAGCCCAGTCCCCTGACTTGTAGGTGATTCCCGTGTAACCCCGCCCAGTCCGGTCGGTATGTTCCTTCAAACCCTGTCCCCTGTCTGACAAATGAGCCCGTGCAACCCCGCCCCTGTCCGGTCGGTATGCCCCTTCCAGCCCTGTTCTCTGTCTCTGTTCTCTGTCCGACAGATGAGTCCCGTGTAACCCCGCCCCTGTCCGGTCGGTAGATTCCTTCCATCCGTGTCCCCTGTCCGACAGATGAACCCCCTGTAACTCCGCCCCTGTCCGGTCGGTAACCCCTCCCATCCCCGTCCGTGTCTGACGCTGGACCCCCAGTAACCTGGGCCCCTCATCCGGCAGGTGAACCTGCGCCTGTACTCGCGACTGGCCGTCATCATGGGCCTTTCGTGGGTGGTGGGCCTGGCCGCCGGTTGGCTCGACTTCCCGCCGCTATGGTACGTCTTCGTCGTGCTCAACACCCTGCAGGGCGTCTTCATCTTCTGCTCGTTCACGATGGCGGACAAGGTGCGGGACCGGGTGCGGCGGCGCGCCAGCAGCTGGGTGTCGGCCCCCAGCTCGCGGGGTCTCGCCTCCGACTCCCACGTGAACACCGACTCCAGTGGCCTCTCCGTCACCAAGACCAGGCTGTAGGGCCGCGACGCTGACGCCAGCGCCAGCGACAGCAGAACTGCCGGCAGGACACGGCTCCACGCACGCCGATGGCTGAGGATGAACTCCTCATGATGGACTTCAGCGGACTCATGATGAACTCCAATGGACTCATAATTAACCCCAGCTGACTCATGATGGGGTCCAGTGAGTTCGTGATGGAGTCCAGTGGACTCACGATGGACTCCAACTGCCTGAGAGTCACAACAACCCAGGGAGTAACCCTTTTGCCTGGGCGCGCGTTGCCAACATGGTCAAGTGCGTACAGCGGGTCTCTGGATTGGCCGTCCCTGTCAGCCCGACAACTGAGAGGAAAAGCGCTCAACCGGCAGCACCGAACACATGCGCCGCGAAACACACGGCGTTTGACAACAGCCGGCTGCCGGGATGCATCGGCGATGGGCTGTGTCCGTACGCGGTCAGGGACGGTGACACGGGTGCCACGGGCCTTTTGACAGGGAGAGGTGGTTGAGGCCCTTCCAGCATCACAGGCTCCGTGCTGCCGACCGAGAGGAACGCTTGTTACCTCCCCGGGTCTCCACTGGCGCTCCCTCCCCCTCATTGCCGTCGAGTGTACAGGTCACGGAATACCCGGGGGATATTTTGATGACAGCTGTGAAGCTCTGCATTAGTCATCTGTAGAGCGTGACGTGATGTGACGTGACGTTACGGGGTCGGACGTGACGTGTCGTGACGGGTAGGTGCTAGAAAAAGCTTCCGTGTTTTAATGACTGCGCTGTATACTCTTAAGCGAGTCCTTGCGGAGGTCTGTGGCAAAGTTCACCCGTTCTGCTGTGAGTTGTATCTGAAACACTGGGAAGCTGAACTCAGGGGACGCTGTTTTTGCTTGTGTGCGTGAAACAAATATGCGGTGAGAATGATAGCTACCCCGCAGTACCTTCATCTGTTGCTCTGGCTGCAAACTTTACCGAATACGGAATCAAAAACGTTTGCGTGGAACCAAATCCCATCATTTTATTGCATGTATAAGGTCGATGTTGCCGCCAGTTTTCTGATCTACAACATGATGTCTTTTGTGTGAATATTGTGCGTTATCACTGCTGCATAGCGTTCTAAGCCCCAGTAACTGCACAAATGGAAGTAGTTAGAGCTTGCAAGTGTCGAGCAATCGTGGAGACAATAGAACAGACTAGGTGTAATCGTAAAGCTTTCTTCAGACGAGTTGTCTGGGTTATTGTGCGTCTTGTGCGTCGGACATATGCAGCTGCATTATAGTCGCGAGCTGTATTGTAATATACCGTCGTATGCTCTGATGTAGCTGTAGTATGTGGTAGGATGTAGTAGCCGGTATTGCATGAGCAGGGTCTTCTGCCTCCCTGAACATGGGATGGGAGGGTGGTCCGTGATCCGGCCTGCGTGACAGCGGAAGAGGTCCTGGTCCAGCCCGCGTGACAGCGCAGCGTAAGGCCTTGCCGCCGTTGCTTGATGTAGCTCATCTGATCAGATGTTTTGTGGAGGCCAAGTAGGCGGCGCTCTGGGGTGTCCCACCCTGCGGACCGGTGCTGTAGCAAGGTGTCGAACTGTAACTCTTCCGCGCTTTTGCTGCGAGCTAACTGAAACTTTTGTGTGTTGCGTAGTCTCAGCTGCAGCGTATGGACACGTTTTGTGGTGTTTAACTTGGCTTGTTTTTCTTGCATTCGTGTTCGTTGTCGTTTTACCTCAGCGAGCGTGTCAGTGTTTTTTGTTCAATATGAATACCCTTGGATACACGTCTGTCTGCCAGTTGCCAGACCTTTACTTCTGACTCCCTGCACCTACAGAGAAGAGATACACAAGATATCCCTTCCGTTCCACATTTCGCGGGATGCGCTTTTGGGGGGGGGGGGGGCATGTGTACACGCGCCCCTCTCACACAGCCGTCCCTGGTTCCTGAAGAAGTGAAGTAGCAGTGACTAGGCGGCGAAACTTGAGTGGTTACATGGTAGTGCGCATGGGTGTTTTTGAAAAGGATTGGGGGAGGGGCAGAGTCTTGAAAGTCACTATAGGGAAGAGGTACGAAAAACTTCTCAAATTAAGTCCGTTTATGTTCTTGTTTTCTGGCTATCCATTATATATATATATATATATATATATATATATATATATATATATATACATATACGAAGTATACTAACAACGCACCTTTTAGGTTTATGTGCGTAGCTACAGAAATCACATGGGAGCCTGGCAGTTTGCATCAGGTTCACGCACTCCTTTGAACTGAGCGGTGCAGTTGCACCTCTCTCCTGCACACTGAAAATGAAATCTGGTCACAGTTTTCCTAGCATGCTTACTATACTGCAGTAACTGTTTGATGAACTTATTCATACTTCACAAGAGGAGTGTCCACAATATATCTGGCATCGCATCCCGTTTACACGAAGGTTCTCAACATGCAAAGTTTAATGGATAAAACACATGCATTTCAGTTAATGTAAAACCAAACATATGTACCACTTCACTCATCACTTCAGAAAATAATTTTCAACGTTTCTCCAAAAGGCTTAGGCAGATGCCTTCCTCTTGATAAAACCTTCCCCGCTCACTTTATCAAACACGCGTTGCAAGCCAGCTGCACTTCTGGAAGACATTTCCAAGCTGTTGTGTCACTGAAGGGAAAGTGACTCTTACCCACTTCAGTTCGAATGTATGGCAAATGAAACGACCATAACGTAAATGTCATACGTAACGCACGTTGATTGGAAAAGCGTTGCAAGTTGAGCTGGCAGCCAGGGACCATGTTTGTCTGGAAAGGCTCAACCTAATACAACCATTATACCAACTACCATGATAGCCCTGACCACGCGAGATCTCAAGCCGTAGAACCAAAACACCGATGCCCGGCGTTGCAGTCTCTGTAGGCCGCGCGGCGTCGTCCCGTTGCTAATGTTAGGCGGTGGCCAATGAGCGTACGAAAATGGCAACGTTTCTGAATGAAAACCCTTGAACGCTTTAGGATGTCGATTCGTACGTTTAGAAGGTAGTCCGGGAGCATGCTTCACCTGCGCAATTTGCCTATATACTGTAGAAACCAGGGACGCAGCCGGAGCGTTGGCAATGGGAGGGCGCAGGGTTGACTAAGGGCCTCTTGATAGTAAAAGGCCCCGCCCCACAAAAAATCACCGGTTATGGCCCATTTGGTAATGAGGACACATTTTCCTTAGGTATTGTATATAGTGATATTATTATGTAAATATTATATATATATATACATATACATATACATATATATATATATATATATATATATATATATATATATATATATAGGCAACAAAAACCTCGTTGTCAGGCGATGCAGTCTCCTTAATCCGCGCACTGTCGGCCCCGTGGCAAACATACGGCTGTGGCCAACAGGTGAAGGAAAATAATGATGCATTTGTAAGAAGCGCTTTTTGACGTTTTTGGACACAAAATCATGCATTCTGGACGTACATTTCACCTGTGCGGTTTTTAGATTGATGACGATAGCGTTTTTGTCTCTACATCACGGCGAAGTCATGCTGGAGTCTGGTGGTGGAATTGGAAGATTAAAAGTCAAATCCCTGCTTTCCGTGCTACTGCTAATGTTAGTCAATCTGTGCCGAGGTTACCCTCAAAATTGCAAGTAAAGATTTGCTCTGTTTGATCTTTGAACTGAACAAATTAATTTTGAAAAACGGTCAGAAACATTACTTCACGATGGCTCTTCGTTGCGTGCACGGCGCCCGCCCCCTGACGTTAGTTGCAGTGGGCAACGCCGTCCGGTTAGACAAAACCGAACCCAAACTATCACTTTCCTTGTTCCTCGAGATTACGGGCATGTCATTGGGACTTTATAACGCACTCAACTGCTGGGGCTATACGGCGCCGTCGGCCTCTCATGCTGGCGGGAAGAGCGGGCACCGCGGAAAGTCGGACCCCGTGCCTGTGGTTTCTCAGACGAGCAGTGGTCAACGCAGACGCGTTACCCACCACGCTATTGATACCCGGCGCGCAGGCTCAAACATTTTGATGGTATTTGTTTCACTAGTCGATTCTGCAATGCAATGAACGTTGTCAGGAAAATATGGGATGGCTTTGTGCGTTTTGAACTCAGTTGAACCCACTCAATTCAGCACTAATGAGACCCATCATCTATTTCTGGTAGGGGCCCGTTGAATACAACACCACGGGGCACATTGTTGTTCCCGGTCAAGAGCTTGAGGGTCATTCCGTCTCACCGCGGTGCGTTCTCCGGTCTTCATTCTGGTGACGCGTAGTGGCGTCCCCTGGCCGAACCGGAGGCCCTTAGAGAGAGATATCATATCATTGGTTCGGTTACATTGGTTCGGAGAGATATCATTGGTTCGGTTACCTGAGGGATACTGAAGGCTCTGACCCACACAGGCCTGACCTGACCAGGCTTGATATTTTGCCTCAATATGAGCAAACATCACAAGTTGTATTTTTCCTTCAATCTTCATAAAGCCCCGACCAACGCAGGAGACCACCTGCCATTCGGGCTTCTGTTCCCATCCCTGTTGAGCAAATCTTCCCCTGACCGATTCGAGGCCCCTTGTTGACACAGAAGGCCCTGTCGGGCACTGCGGGCCTCTGAACGATACAGGAGCCCGACCAATGTAAATCGTGGGCCCGGCCTTGATCCAGCTTGGGAAATGAGCCCCCAGAGCTCAGATCAACACGGAGCCGACTGTTGTTCGTGATTTCTGGCCGAAATAGAAGAACGCTCTCTTTCAGGGGTCCCTATTGGTGTAAGAGATCAGCCGACTTAATTTGAAATCACCGCCCTATTTGGGAGGGGGTCATCTTGTTACCTACAGCCAGCCCTTCGGACCCTTCAGCTATCCCAAGGAGCCCTTGATTTTTAAACTCGAGGAAACATTCTGCCCCTTTTCAGACCCATTCAGCCACCGCTCCGACTCGGGACCATTTGCCGCCACAGGGCTCCTGTTAGGCACTGTGGCTTCTAACCGACATACGAGCCCCTCATTGCGTCAGGGACCCCAAACATTGCAGATCGCGGACCCCGGCCTCGTTTCTGCTTGGGAAATGGGTCTCAAGAGCTCAGACGAACATGAAGCCGACTCATCGGTATTTGTGGTTTCTGACCGACTTAGAGTTCGAATTGCCGTAGGGGGTCCTCTTTCCCTTAATCTTAAGTCAGAGAACCTTAAGAGATCCTCTGACCTACGTTTGAGGGCCCGGTCCTGCAGGCCGGGGTCGTTAATGTGACCTGCAACCAGCCCTTTGTACCTTCCAATAAGGCACTTGATCGTCAGTGCCCGGGGCCTTCGGGCCCCTCTGCGGGCCACCTTGAACACTGCCGCAGGCCGATCCTGGGCTCCTTGCCATACAAGACCCTTGTAATGCACTGTGGTGCCAGATCGACACAGGGACCCTTCACTGCCTCAGGGACCCCGACTGACATACATCGCGGGCCCCGGTCTTGTCCCTGCTTGGGAAATGGGTCCCAGTCCCAGACCTGACGCTGAAACAATATGGCGGTGAATCAGTCACGTGTAACGGTTCAGCCTCCACTACAGGGGCGTAGTTTTGTTTAAGGGCTAGGGGGGCGAGCTGGGAAACCCTAGCCCTAGATACGCTAAAATAGTTTCTTCCCGGGCTTGACCCACTTTCCTCTCCGCGTTATCGAATTGGATTCCCACCAATTGCATAGAAAACTGCAGCACTGCTCTTATACCCTTCCTTCGTTCTGCCTCGGCGGAAGATGTTGCGGCTGGACATCATCATGATATTTGGCGTCGATCGTCGAAACCAGGTTTCGGTAATCGACGCAGGGTCAATGTTATGTGGCTTTAGATGTTAGACGTTTATGGCTTCGGGAGTGAAGCGTGTACTAGTTTAAGCGAGACCATTAAAGGCTGCGACGGAAGCCCTCGGCTGGTGGCCGTAATGCGGGCAGCAGGCAGCAACGCAGCACTCGCGTTAGGTATGTTAGACACGGAGAGTGATCTTTTGGTGGTCAGTGTCTGACGACTGCTGCTATCAGTTTAGTCGGCTGGTGTCGATTATCAAATTTTTGGAAGTGCTTAATGGAATATTGACGTCGCATAGGAGGTCGGCACATTTCAAGGGTTCTTTCCAACGTTTCTGGTTGAGGATTAATCTACGTTTTTGAATGCCAGCTTTTGACGGGTTTGCTGCCATTTTTAGATAAAAAATCGCACCGTATTTTGGCAAAATAACGCATCTTACTGCAGTCTATGCTGCTTGAAACATCACAGGATAATGTCACAACACTCAGGCAATAGCAAGCAACTATATTAGAGCCAATAAGGTACACAATTGTGTAATCGAAAACGAAGAGTATGCAAGGAAAGCAGAAAATACCCAAGTAAACATCACGACGCA